TCCATTCCTCTTCTCAGATGACTTTCAATCTGATATTGATTTATTACATTTGAGCATATCATGATAGGGATATATTGTCCGATACAAATAACTGAAATATCTAGCAGACATGTTCCAAACAAAATAATTGATTCTATTGGTGAATTGCGGGATTGTTCTTGCTGTCAGACCTCTTATCACAGCAATTATTCTATATTTGCTTTGAAACCTTAATGGGAAAGCCCTCTGTGCTGTAACACAGCAATTTAAAGTTTAGGAAATGCCTTCAATGAAGAATATGTTGATACGAAGAGGCAAAGGGTTATGTATTTATTCTGTTGAATTGGTATTGCGAGTATTTATGGATCAAGAAATATGCTGAAGTGCTACTGGTTGGCACAATGTTGGAAAACGGAGAAGTGATAAAACTGTTAGAAGTTATTAGCTGTTAAACCTTATTCTTTCCGAACCATAGTTTGGACAATCAAATCTTTACCAGCTTGGTTAGGAAAAAAGGAGGCCACAAAGAAAATGGTATATTCCTTTAAATTCCTCTGTTACTCTGTGACAAGCCTGAGTATAAACATCTGAAAATTAGTTTGACTTTTGAAGATATGACAGCATTTGAGACAGGGAGATGTTTGTTGCATATCCTAGTCTTGTTTTAATTATGCTGTCTAAATTTAATGTGCTAGCATAACCTGTGGCTGTTTTCTGTGTTTTTCTCTTTCTGTAATAAGGCTTTCCTCCTCAAGAGATGAAAAACAAGAATTCCAGTTGCCTTTTTCCAGACTTCCCTTGTTCACTGAGTACAGCATTCACCCAGATTATGGAAAGTGAAGGAAGAAGAGATGTCATAGCTGTGTTTGAGTACACTGTGATCCAGCAAAGTCTTCCTTACCTGGTTGAGTCTTGAAAGCAGGACTATGTTTAGTATCTTAAGTAATTTGTCTAGTTTTGCACCCTCAGTACAAGAAAGAAGTTGGAAAGAGCTGGAATGAGATTAGCAGAGAGTCACGCAGATGTTTGGGGCAGGAGCACTCGCCCTTGGAGGAGAAGCTGAGGGAGCAGGTTGTCTTCAGCCTGAAGAAGCAGCAGCAGCTTTGGGGGAGGTCTTGAGGAGTTTATTGAGAAGATGAGCCCACGCTCTTCACAGTGGTGGAGAGATAAGAGTCAACAGGCTGGAACAAAATGTTTGAACTGGATATAAGGAAGATGTTTTCCTCTGTGACAAAAGTCCAGCAGAGGAGGAGGCTGCTCAAATAAGTTGATTTTTATTTTATTTTTATTATCATTTTTTTTTTAAGACCTGACTGAAAAAGTCTGGAACAACCTGGCCTGGCCTCATAGCTGAGCCTGCTCTGAGAAGGAGCTTGGACTAGAGACCTGAGGTCCTTTTAAACCTGAGTTATTCCATGGATCTGTGATTCTCTTCTGTGAGGAGAGAGACTAGGGCAGCTCTGTAAGGCCATGCTAGGAACCTGTTGCCTGGAAATACCTGCAGGAAGAGAGCAGTAGAGTCAGCACTTTGAAGACTAGGCAGGTCCCAAAGGAAAAATTGACAATTAGACCCCCCAGATCCATCTGAAGCCCTTTCAGAGATCTAGTCTAACTCTACAGCAACAGGCTTTCTGTGAAGCAGAAATATGATTTAGGGCTTGTTCATTTAAAGTGTTTTGAAAAGAGTTACTGAATAATTATTTTCCACATACATGCTCAGTTTCAGAATATCATTGGAATGATCAGTGTGATTGCATAAAGCTTTTTAACTTTCACATAAAACTTTTTAATAATTGGAAATAATGATTCCAGATTGTCTTTCATGTTTATTTCTACACCCTCGCTGTTCTAGAATAGTTATATTATTTAAGCATAAATATGAACCTCACTTTCCATTTGTACAAAAGTGGAGAGTGTAGTTTGAAAATGTAGGCTCTGTATAGCTTATTGAAAGACTTGGAGAAAACCTTCAGTCATTACCTGTGCAGTTTGGAATGGTTGATATCTGTTTATAAATCATCCAAGTTTTGAAAAATAAGATTAGAGCTTTTTTTTTTTTTTTTAGAAAACATATCCTCTTTAGTCGAGCATGCTGACCCCAGTATCATTCAAACATTATTAGATGGTTCTGAAGTATGTTGACATTGAATTTTATTTGAATTTGAGGAGCATTGCATAGTTTCAGAAGATGGGAAGCTTTTGTATAGTAGGGGTGACAACTCAGGACAAGTAAAAGAGCCCTGAAGTGATAACGTAATGTTAATACACGTCGATACTCAGTGATCCTGGCCTTAGTGATATGAGAAGCTTTAGGGGGGTTGAAATATTGCTCTCTTTATTATAGGTATATAGAGGCTCTTGGAGTAGCTTTTAGCTGCTGCCCTTTTGCAAATTTCATGTTATTTTTTTGATTATGAAAGTGAATATGTCATTCTGTTTCCTTTGGCCACAAGAGTTCAATCCATCAAAAGACAAAATGCATGCTGTGTGACTATGTGTTGTTATTTCGGTCAGCTCACTCTGTAGTGAAAAGCATCCTTTTGTATCACATTTCTGGCAGTCTCCTGTAGTTTAGCATATTAGAATCAATCTGTAGATATTCTGCAGATTGTTTTTCTTTTACTACCCATTTAACAGTTATTTCCATGCAACTTAGTTGATTTGTCTCTCCAAAGGGATGGAAGAGTTTTTGTTGACTTTTCTGCTGGCAGCTCAGTTAAAGGCACAGTGGTAGCTTGTGCTGTCTTTGAACAAGCTTAAATATACAAGTTATTGGGAAGAAAATGAGACGATATCGATAAGAGGCGATTAAAGCAACTGTAAATCTTTGATCCTTGATTTGGCTGTCACTGCCTGTTGAACTTTGATATTCTGTTTGTGCTCTGAAGAGCTACATGTAAGGCTAAAACTGTGCCAAGCTATTGCAGTTTTAGTGAATGTCACTGTCTGGTTTTTATTACTTAAGTAGCATAACAGGCTGACACTGCCTGACTGACATTGCTTGCAGAATTCTCTGGAATGCTGGGATTTCAGCAAAGGAGTAATGCATTAAAGTAAGAACCATATAATGAAACACTGTTCAAGTAGGCTTAATGTGTGTGGTTGTTTTTGTTTTTGTTTTCCAAACTATGAGAAGGAGCATGTAACAATTTTTGCTACAGCTCCAGCACTCCAACTTGAACTGATTTATTTAATGAAATAGGAGTTTAATAAACATTTTTCTCTCGGGAGCAAATTTTGTTCTTCTGTTATTTACATGCATCAGGAGTTACTTCTAGTTTACTCTGTCAATGAGAACAAAAACCAAAAGCCAATAATGGAAGACCCCGTTTTGATTCAGTAGCGTTTTGAATCTGACTGAAGAATCTTTCTGTTCGGCTTTAGAGACTTCTGATTTAAAGTTTGTGGATTGTAGCCTCTTATATGTTTGTCTTCAGCATTTGGCATGTGTGAAGAAAGTGTGATTTGGGCTTGTACTTTTTATCATCTGGCAGTGACTGTGAATTTTCCAAAGTGGGCCTGGTGCTTGTGTGTGTAAGTTCTTCCTGTACTCGACTGGGAGTCCTGATTAACTGATGAGATGGTGGGTTGGTGACATGTGGGTCTCATTTCTTAAGGGATTTGCTTTGTGCGCTTACTGAGGTAGAGGAAGAAGTGGTAGATATTTTACTGTATAAATTACAGTTGACATGGCAAGATGCCTTATCCTGCTTTATCTAACATCCTGGCAAAATACATACTAGTATAGAGAGGGTGTTGCAGTGTGTGTGTGTGTGTGGTTGTGTTTTTTGCCGCTCAGGATTGATAAGACCAGCAAGTTGCAGTGGCTTTTGGCCTGGCATACTGGACAGAACTTTCCCTCTTCCCCCTTGAAGGGCAGAATTAACTTTTGCTAGCTTCTTGTTGTATTTCTATGTTGTTTATTTATTTATTTTTAATGCATAAGAGTCACAAAGACGTATCTTAAAGAATAACTGAAAATTGAAGCCAAATGAGTATCTGATATCTTGAATTGTGTGGTTTATTATATGGGAAGAATAATTAACGATCAAGTACAGGAAATAACTCGGCTGTTAATAAAATAAATAATTGATAGCGAACTGGAGAGAGCTGTAAGAATACAGACATACAAAATTGCCTTAGAGTCAGAAATGTGGATTAAAAGAGATTAAGTGGGAAGAAAGTTAGCAAAGGTGTTGATTTAAAAAATATGTATATATTTAGAGAGAGTCATTCAAGTCATGGCTGTTAAGATGTTTGAGACTTGAAAGTACGTAATAGAGAATGACTAATAGTAGGCTAAAAATTAAATACCTAACTTTCAGGAAGCTATCGCAGAAATGAAGGCCGTAGGTCTGTGCTAGCTGTGCATAAATACAGTACCTCACAGCAGGGAACTGTGGAAGTCTTGTGAAGCTGCACACTGGATACAACATTTAATTTGGGTAGCATCATTAGCATAATGTATTAATCAGAAGAGTGAGAGAAAAATGAAGAGATTGAATTAAGCCTGTTAGAGAAATTGCACATATCAGTTGGTAGAATGATGCTTTAAAGTGACAGAGTGTACAGAAACAGAGAGATATTTAAATGAACAGAAGAGATGTATTGGTAACAACAGAACAAGCAAAATTCAAACCTGAAAACAATGAAAACTTCATAAAACTGAGGAATAATCTGCTGAGGTAAAAGGTAGTGTCCCTGGAATTTGGGACATTTGAAAGTAGATGGTTGAAAACTTATTCTTTGTTGTTTGCTTGATTGTTTGATTCTGATAAAGAGCAAAGCAAGAATTCTTGTTTTTGCAGGTGTGTTGATGTACAAGAGGAATGAATACTGAAGGCACCCTTTGAAGAGCTGAAAATAGGCAACATGTCAGTGTAGCTGTTAAAATATATATGAGAAACGTTTTTTTCTCTCCCCCTCCCCTGCCCTGCAATATCACTTCAGTAATGAAGTCTAGTGTTAATATTTCTCCATCAGCTGCAAGAATTGGTTAATTTACCTTCTGACTGTTGCAGGGGCCTTTGCTTGCAAGATGGTACCATTTGTTCAATCCACTGCTATTGTAACTGAGATTCTCACGATGACCTGTATTGCTATGGAAAGACACCAGGGAATTGTGCATCCACTGAGAATGAAGTGGCAGTATACCAATAAAAGAGCTTTCACAATGCTTGGTAAGATTTTAGGCATCTCTAGGATTCATCTTGCTTGACTGTTATTGGGGAATTAATTGTGTCAATGACCCTAGGGTAGGTGATATGAAGAGCAAAAGACACAGACATGGCTACCAATGCAGAGGTGGAGTTGATGCCAAATCTGGTACTGTTTATAAGTACCTTAGGGATAGTGTCTGAGTGTGGAGTGATTACTAGTGAAAATCCTGACAATAAATCCAGAATCCCAAGTCAAAGATTTATTTGTTCAGGACTCTGATAGATTTTGGACAGGCATTTTGTTTAAGCAGAAGTCTTCAAAATATAGAAGCACTGCTAAAGGAATGTCACAGTTCTGCATGGTCCTTCCACTGTTACACAAGGAGCATAGTGAATGTTACTTATGTAAATTAAATTTATCTTGCACTCCGATCCCAGTAAATGAAGATATTTTAAAAGAAGGGAGACTGACAACTGAAGAAGATGCTGTGGTACAAATGCTGTCTGATTGACTTAGATGAAAAATGTTGTTATCAATTTGTCTACTTCACCTGTGTCTCACAGATGAAGCCATTAAACTTGTTGACACGAAAGCTTATACTTCTTGTTGTACAGAGTACTAAAAAATGTATTTGTTTACAGGCATGGTCTGGTTGCTGGCAGTTATTGTTGGGTCACCTATGTGGCATGTGCAACGGCTTGAGGTATGTTAGAAAATGGAAATTTCTATTTTAAACTCAGCTCTTGCTGGACCTTTTGGCAAGGTTAGCAACAAGATTGAATAAGCTTCCTGACAAATGAGAGAGGGGATTAGCAGAAATGAAGGTGTTCTGGATACCAGCGTGAGAAAGATGAATGGTTATGACTACCATGCTGTGGGAGAAAGACTACCAGCAGGGGCTAGTCATACCTACGTCCCCAATTATTTCAAAGAGAAATAATTGTAAATGTAACCCGCGTTATTGCTTGCTTTGTTTTATAGGTACATTGACACCCAGCAGTGTAGGATGACATACAGTTCTTCCACATCCTGAAGAACACTATCTAGTTTAAAATGTAATTAGCTGTTCATTTTAGTTTAAGCAGTTGTTATGCACTGTTGGAAAAATGCCTTGTCTGAATCAGTAGCTTTTAAGTCTGAATGTTAATGGAAACATGTTATTAAATAGGGATTTTTAGTGATATGTCTACATACTTATGTCTATTTACAATGTATGTAGCTAAAATTTCCTTTGAAAATCCTGTTAAAAAAAAAAAGTAATTAGCAAGAGCATGTCTGTCAGCTTGAGTAAATCCACTAATGCTTGTGGAAAGTGATTGGAAGAATTTTCTCACTTTAGAAGGTTTTTCTGAAACTTGATCATTAGATTAAAAGCAAGGAACATTTGAATGTGCTTGTTTTTTACCCTTGTGATAGACAATATAGTGACTCATCTCCTTTACACTTGTTGCAGGTTAAATACGACTTTTTATATGAAAAAGTATATGTTTGTTGCTTGGAAGAATGGGCCAGTCCTATTTATCAGAAGATATATACCACCTTCATTCTTGTTATACTCTTCCTTCTTCCATTGATATTGATGCTTTTCCTGTACACTAAAATCGGTTACGAACTCTGGATTAAGAAACGAGTGGGAGATGCTTCCGTTCTTCAAGCTATGCATGGGAACGAAATGTCTAAAATATCGAGGTTTGTAAATAAAATATCAAGGATCATAAAGTAAAAACAGCTTTGAAATTTGACTTTTAAAAAGCAGAAATTTGACTTTTAAAAAGCAAATTTGTGCTTCTGGTAATTCTTGAGAACCAGTGTAATAAAGGCTGTTGTTATCCAATGGGATGCCCTCAAACATGGCACAGAATTTAAAGCTAACTAGCTATTTATCACTTGGCTGCCTGATTAAGGCAATTTAGACAGTTTGTTTTCATCAAAATATTCAATAGACACACTTTGATAATCAAGCCATTTTGATAAATCTCATATTGTGCATTGTGAAACTGTTCTTTTTAAAAGATGTAGGCTGTGATTTATGGAAATAACAGCATCACTTTTCCAAATCATTTTCTATGTTCTTTGGAAAGTTCTTTCAGTAATTCTGAGACTGTGACCACTGCTTTATGAACTCTTTGCAGGTTAAATTGTCACATGGGGAGAAACAAACAAACAAACAAACCAGAATTCATTTTAAAACCTGCTTTCATACCGTTTAACTCGATATAGCTTCCAAAAAGATCTGAATGTTCTGAGATTTATTGTGCCTTGTGAGACTATCTAGATGGTAACTTTGCATGTATAGTTATAAATCCAATAATTATCCTTTTGACCAATATATACGTTTATTTACCTTTATAACAACTTTGCTATATAACACTATAAATTGGCTACCTTTCATATTGGCACATACATTTGCTTTAATTTGGCAAATTGATCTGTTACTAATGTGCTAGGAACTTCTAAAAACTGTGCACATTGAGGAAAGTATCGCATTAAGTATGGAAGGAAAATACTAGCAGGCAACTTAAAGATAAGTGATTCCTTCAACAAATATATGAGGAAGTGCCTAAAGAAGCAGGTCATCATTGGTTAAAACTCAAGGAGAGTGTTATCTTGCATCACATAGGGTAACATTCATCTAAACTTTGTCTTGTCCTCAGTTCAGTGAATGGTTCACATATCAGAGAGAAGATTGCTACAGTTGCTACTAGTGAACTGCTCAAGTGTGAGAGGTCTGTCCTGGGATCTGTAAACCTAGTTATATTGATGATATCCTTTCAGGAATAAGGATAAATTCAAATGCATGTGAAGTCTGTTTGTCAGCTGTTCAAGGCAGGGTGTCCATCTCTTGCTCCTTATTCCAGCACTTCACCTAGCAATAAAAACTGAATTTCTGGAGCATAGCTTCGCCTGCTCTGTTAGATGCTCTTTGTAATGAGGTACAGTCAGTGCTTCCAGTTTTAGAAAGGGACACTTGTTTTTTGATCTACTGCGGAATTGCAAGTGTGTGTGTTTTTTTTTTTTCTCCCTTGTCTGTTGCTACTAGAATTCTTCTTGCTTAGAGTGAAAGTGCCTTGCAATTCATGCTGATGTCATTGCACGCTGCAACTAATACTTGTGTTCTTTTCCCTGAAAGAGAGAAATTATGAAGTGTTAATTTCTGTACAGGATGTGTATGATACTGCAGTGTTCTATTTCAAAAGGAATTACGTACTTCGGAGCACTCTCTCAGGAGGTTATTTGCATCTGCATCCATCATAAGATGCTTACAGATTTAACTCAGTGTAACTTAGGTTAACTTCTGTAACTTAATTATTCAATATAAAATGTCTTGGTGCAATTTCAGGAAGAAGAAGCGAGCAATTGTTATGATGGTGACAGTGGTGTTTCTCTTTGCAGTCTGTTGGGCTCCTTTCCACGTGATTCACATGATGATAGAATACAGTGAGTATCTTCAATAAAGTAAAGCCTCTTTTTTTTTTTTTTTTCCTCCAATAATGGAACTGCAGATTGTGAAATGCTAGCACTGCTGTGGTTTTCAGCTATAAAATCCCTCCTGCTAGCAAAGGTTAATGTTGTGCTTATAAATCCTGAATGAATCAATGCCTTGTAGTAGAGATACATAGTCAACAAAAGATGCATTTCTCTGAAGTCTATGAGTTATAGACAGATCTGCAATGATCACAGAAGATGTACATACATTTCAAAAACCTCTTACATTACTCTCGCAAACATACATCCGGTATCTGAGAAATACTTGTGTGTCAGCCAGGTCTACTCGTCCTAGCTGTAGCACTGAATAACATGAATCTAGCTGTGAACTGTGCTGGACTTTGTGGAGAGAGGTGAGAGAGAGCACTGTTGGTTTCCCCACTTCTGCAGGGGAGCAATGATAGCAGCTGGGACTGTGCAGCTGGCTGTGGCTAGGGCATTGAAGTGATCACTATCTGCTGTGCTCTGCTCACCAAAGGTAACAGCTGTATGTCTCTCTTCTACGGCAGATAAGATTGTAGCAGGTAAGGCAGGAGTACTACAGCCAGTCAAATGAACCAAATTGTGTTTGTGACTGGAGAGAACCAAAAATGCTTAAGCTGTAACTTTTGAAATTATCTGGGTTGTCCCATATTGAGATTGCCCTATAAAACTGTTCTGTATAATACTTGCATTGTTTCCACTGTCAATTTTGGGGCTTATTTCTACTGCTGCAAGGCCTGAATTGGCTTACTTTGTAAACCCTTGTACAGCTAATTCCAAAATTCCTTAGCCAAGGATTTGGATTAAAAAAAAATACAGAGGTTCTGTTATCTAAAGTGATTAAAATGTGAGATATCACCAAGAACGTGTGTGTTTATTCCGTGAGCCTATCCATGTAAGCACAGAGAAAGAAGCTGTGTATAATCAGTGAAAATACAGGGATTAGTGTCATCATGGTGAAGTATTTACAAATTTCTCATGACCATGAGATGCAGAGTCAGAGGAATACTCCAGTAAACACAGCCTACATTTAGCAGCCTGTGGCCGTGTGGATGGTTTTTCCTGCTGCCCCACCCCTTTAGACTACTCTGTCCTTTCTTACATGTATACAAAGCAGGATTGTGTGATAGGGCTTGATCTTTGCTTGCTGCTGAAATTTTATTGCTAAAATTGAGAACCTCCAGCAAAGTGCTTTTTTGATATTAGATATAAGCTTTTAATGTCAAACTGGATATAAATGGGCTTACTGATAGATGTTCATACTGCTCTGGGCTTACGCCATGTTTCTTTTTTGTTTTCCAGGTAACTTTGAAAAGGAGTATGATGATGTGACAGTCAAAATAATCTTTGCTGTTGTCCAAATTATAGGATTTTTCAATTCTATTTGCAACCCTATTGTGTATGCTTTTATGAATGAAAACTTCAAGAAAAATTTTGTGTCTGCCCTCTGCTTTTGTGTTGTCAAAGAAAATGCATCACCAGCCAGGCAACTTGGGAACTTGGGGATTACTATGAGGCGGCAGAAGGCAAGTGTTTCTCGAAGAGGTCCCAGTGGTTTGGAGGAGGCCAGGAGGGAGGCATTCAGTGATGGCAATATAGAAGTCAAGTTCTGTGACCAACCGACTTCAAAGAAGAATTTGAAACAGCATCTTGCCTTTTTCAGCTCTGACCTTACTGTGCATTCTGCACTGGGAAATGGGCAGTAACATCACAAAGGCTTTTAGACTGGGAAAAGCGTTCCCTTTATCTGATAACTTTGAACACACTGTTTGAAATATATTTTTCTACTTTGCATGCTGCTGTTCTGGATGGGTTCGGGATTCGGCAATAACCACATAGAACGAAATGGCTACGTTAAGTATTTATTCAGGCGAGAACACGCAGAAGAAATGAAACATGGATAACTAGTCACTAGATACCCGCTGGTGGGATACTGAAACTGAACATCCTCTTGAGCGGGCAGATCAGAGAGAGCTGCTGATCGGCTGCTGTGGAGACAGCTCAGACCTCAGAGTTAGGAGTCTCTCCTTCCCTGCTCCTCTCTCCGCACTGTCTTCTCTAATCCCGGTGCATCCGGGCACGTAGGGTCAGTAGGACCCAGGAGGCAAGCCAGGCGGGGGAAGGGGCGGACAAACTCGCCTTTGGTTGCACAACTCTCTCTTGAGGGTGTGCATGCATGCATACCAGTGGGGGGTCCGAGCCCTCAATCTGAGGGTCCTGCCTTCCTCATTGTCTTCCTCCTTCCCAGGTGTTTTACCTCCAAACCTAGTTCAGAGGATGTCTGTGGTTGATTGCAAGCCTGATCAAGCAGCTGGCCTCAACTGGTTTTTAAGAGGAGGTGGGCTGTGAACCTGGCTAAGCAGCCGCCTCAGTGCTCCTTATCACTCAGGCCAGGCAGACAAACACCTTCTATCTCAAGATCTGTGTTCTGCTTCTCCCAGGATATTTTTATGACCTTCCAGATCGTAAAAATATCCATTTCCTGTACAGCTACAAAGAGGGGAAAATATTTTATGGATTATGATAATGTCTGAATAATGGGTCAGAAATTATAATAGGTTTTACAGATGAAGAATATTGGAGAACAAGACCACTGGGTTATTTCCAGAAAAGTATTTTTCTTCCAAAGCTAACATAGGGCTTCTTTGCCCTCTGCTCTAGGTAAACTAAGCAATTGCTGCTTGCTTTGTTTACTTTGTGTCTGGATGCTCGCAAGCCATTGGAACATACACAGTTCAATATAGTTTGCTAGAAGACTGTGGAAAACTATGGAAAATATGCACACTTTCTTGAGACAACTTCAGAATCTTACTTGGGTCTAACATTGTAAGATCTACTATCTGCACTCCAAGGACAGAGAAACTTGAGATTTCATAAATACAGAAGGAGATGCAGTCCTATTTTGCGAAGTGTATGAAAGATCTTCTCTTTCTTTGAAGAGATGAAGATTTAAACTTTGCATGCATGCTCATTTTTTTTGTAAATGGAAAGTGTATTGGAAATGAATAATACATACATAATTAATGTTTTTTTTTTACAGATTAGTTCTCTGGGTAAA